ACAAGCAGTTGTCAATCAGTGTGTTGTGTGGTGTGTGTCGTGAAAAAAGGGTTTCCCGTTTTGAAAAGGCCTGTCGGAGGCGACTGTGAAAACGTTGTGAAATATATGCCTAAAAGTATTTATTATTCTAATAGATATTATTGTTATTTCATTCTTTGGTTTTCTTCTGTCCTTTTGTTTTTATCTGTATTTTTGCATTTCGTTTGTCGACTGAATTGCCGACAGATATTACCAGACATTCGCCGTCCGGACCGACAGATCAATCACAGGAGAGAAACACAAAATTATTAAAAATTAAAATAAGAGTAAAAGTATTTTTTACTCAAAAAAAAGCACAATTTCATTCAATTTCACGAATGCATTCACTACACAAACACACGTATAGAGAGTAATAGTTAGCAACAAAAAAAAGGACCAAGAAAGAAACAACAAAAATATTTCATTCATAAAATACATTTAATAAATATTTAGATTAAAAAAAACTTTTCAATAAAACTAAAAACACATTTCGCTCGAAACGATTGGTCGGACATCCGATCCGATCACTCAATCGCCAGACGTATTGCTGTCACCAATTGTTGTCTCGCTTAGTGTCGACACAATAGCACCGGTGGTTGGGGTAGAGGTGGGGTCACCGGCCGTCGACAGCGCAGTGTTGGGCAACAATCGATTGACGGAATCGGCGATTGTGTCCACCCGTACGCGCGGGAACTGGTCCTTGACTTTGGCGAACTCGATGGCCGACACACCCAACCGGTTGGCCACCGAAGACATGGGCAGAATCCGGTCAAAACAACGGCCTAAATGGGGCAACAGTTCGCCCGCGTATTGACTGCAGAATCGGTACAGAATCTCGCGTTCACTGCCCGACAGACCCGACTCCTCGGCCCTACAAATACACGTCAAAAAATATTTAGTAAATTATGTGCAAAATATACGGAAAATGTGCTGTTTTTGCGCCAAAATTTGGTTAAAAACCAACAAAAAATGCAAAAATGATTTATTTATTGCTAATTTCAAGACAAGAATCTCATAAAACATTTGCGAGAAATTTGTTTTCTCTACCCATTCCTTACAGTCTCTCTCTCTCTCTCTCCACAGCCTGTCTGTCATTTCACTAATTAATTACCGAAAATACACTTTCATTTTGTGGGGAAAATGTAATATATTTTTCACAATTTTAATGTGTATTAAAGTGACGACGAAATGCTTAATGACTTGTAAATAAAGAAATTATTCTTGAATTTCGTCAAAAATATGTATACACTGTATATGTGGAGAGAGAGAGAGAGAGAGAGAGAGAGAGTTATACATGACTTAAAAATCTAAAAATAAAACTTGCATTTTCTTCCCCATTCATTCATTCATTGTGTCTCTCAATCTCTATCTCTTATATCACATCGTATTTAACGCTTTAATTTATTGTCACAAAAATACTTTCGCCCTTTCATTCTCTCCACTAATTTTGCTGTTTTTGTGCATTTCATTTGACATTTGTTTTTATAGTAAAATTTAAATTTTATAAATATTTACGATATTTTTTTAATGTTATTTTCCATAAAACTATTGTTTTATTGTTTATCGTTTAGATTTGAGACATCGATACAGAGTTTTACGCTAACCTCACACGCGATCAATACGTCGGCCGCCGCCTCACTATTGGCGGGCGCGGCCACCGATGATCAGGTATTCACTTCTGTTTTATATCATATTTTATATTTAAATCAATAAATATATTGTTGAAAATGTATTTTAAATTAGTCTGAAGACGAGCTGATCCCACCGACCAGTTTGTTGGAGTTCCCACTGTTGGCCTACTATTGCAACGACATTTTGGCCGCCATGAATGAGATCCGTCGGACCACACCGTTGGCCACAATCGGGCCGTTGACCAACGCGTTGAACGACTCGTTCCAACGCGTCTCCAACGCTATCACCAAATACTTTAGGTATTGAATTGAGTGGTATTTTTTTAAATGCATTTTTTCTGGTCGTTTACGTGATATTTGATTTCACCCGCAAATTGCTGACGATTTTATATGCAAATTATGTGTTGTTTTTTGCTGATATCAACCATTTCCTAGTGTTTTACAGACAACGTCTCACACAAAACAACAAGAGATTGAAAATTACTGCAAAAATGATACAAAACAAAAATTATACCACGAGTTGAATGACTGCTGCTTTTAATGACAGTCAATCCATCCCTTTATTTATTATAACAACAACTGATTTATTTGTGTTTTTTATTGTTATAGAGTATATACTTTTTTCTCTACTATTTTGTTGCCATTTGTTTCCACCGATTGAAGCCTTTATATCAATGTATAGTAATTTTTTGTGTCAACTCTTTTGCCAGAAAGACGTCTCGTATTAATATATAAGTCTTATAACAAGACTTTAATTTAAGACTTAATTTAAAGCATTCACTGCAATGAGAGTGTAAAAAATACTTTAAGACTGTTTTCTGTCAGTTAATCGCTTAAATCAATTAAATGATAACTTATTGTTTCCCGTCTGGTCTGAACTCTTTGCCAGACTCTCTCTCTCTCTCTCTCTCTCTCTCATTATGTCTGAATAGTAGCACACTTTAGCGCCCATTGCTCTCCTCACTACACATCCATCCAAAAGGATTTACACTTTATTTTTGATTTTTTTCTCATTTCGTATCGTTTTTGTTAAATAAGAAACAAAATTACCAAATATATTGTTCCCATTCTTCACTCTAACTGAACGTTTTGAACGTTTTTTTACTCATTTGTTTCAATGAGAAATGGTTTACAATATTTCTATCATCTAATGATTAGTTGCGAGTAATGTCTGCAATGTGTGTGTGTTTTCCCCAGAATTTATAGATTTTTCGCAAATCGGTTACTATTTTTATGCTTAATATTTATGTTTGAAATTTCCAGCGTTTCTATTATTAAAAGAGCATGAATTTCATTGACTTTCATTTGTGGTATTATATATACGAGCGCTATATATATACGATGTCTGAAGAGTTTGTATAATTCATATATAGTCTGTATGTTATAAATAGACGGGTTTTTTCGCACACAGAAAAATCCGTAGACAAGAATCGCAGACAACGTTACCAAAAATCGATACCATTTTGCAGACAATTCTGCAAAATTCTGGCCTAAAAACTCTGTGTCTATGAGTCTATGAACACAACTATTTTACTCATTGAGTCCATGAATATAATGATAATAATATTATATGGATTTTGTTTTACGACTTCCGTTCCCTATCATTGATTTTCTCCTATTCTTTATGCTTAATGTTTAAGACTATTATTATAATAGTGTATAAGAATTGTCACAAATATTTTATAAGTATATATAAATTGCTGGTATTTTCCAGTTATATATCATTCACCTCTCCGTTACTCTCTCTCTCTCTCTCTCTCTCTCTCTCGTCTGAACTCTAACACACAGACAAGAATCGCAGACAACGCTATGAAAAATCGATATATTTTGCAGACAATTCTGCAAATTCTGGTCTTAAAATTCAGTCTTTCAACAAAACTATTTCACTCATTGAGTCCATGAATATAATAATGTATATATTCTTTGGTTCCCTACCATTGATTTTCTCCCATGTTTTATATTAATGTAGAAATTATTATTATTATTATTATAGTTTACAATAATTGTCACAATTTTTATATTTATACATAAATTGCTGGTATTTTCCAGCTTTTATGTGATTCTTTCGCTTACTTTCTATTGTTTGGTATTATTTTTCATAATTATTTTATTGGAGACAGAATTTTAGGAGTAATCGATTTTATACTCGCTTTTTATTATTCTCTAACATTTACTGTAATTCTTGGCATTTGTTTCAAGTATTTCTTTTTCAGATTCTCTCTCTCTCTCTCTCTCTCTCTCTCTCTCTCTCTCTCTCCACATACTTATACAGTGTATACATATTTTTGACGAAATTCAAGAATAATTTCTTTATTTACAAGTCATTAAGCATTTAGTCGTCACTTTAATACACATTAAAATTGTGAAAAATATATTACATTTTCCCCACAAAATGAAAGTGNTACTTATACAGTGTATACATATTTTTGACGAAATTCAAGAATAATTTCTTTATTTACAAGTCATTAAGCATTTAGTCGTCACTTTAATACACATTAAAATTGTGAAAAATATATTACATTTTCCCCACAAAATGAAAGTGTATTTTCGGTAATTAATTAGTGAAATGACAGACAGGCACAGCAGTCATTCAACTCGTGGTATAATTTTTGTTTTGTATCATTTTTGCAGTAATTTTCAATCTCTTGTTGTTTTGTGTGAGACGTTGTCTGTAAAACACTAGGAAATGGTTGATATCAGCAAAAAAACAACACATAATTTGCATATAAAATCGTCAGCAATTTGCGGGTGAAATCAAATATCACGTAAACGACCAGAAAAAATGCATTTCAAAGAAATACCACTCAATTCAATACCTAAAGTATTTGGTGATAGCGTTGGAGACGCGTTGGAACGAGTCGTTCAACGCGTTGGTCAACGGACCGATTGTGGCCAACGGTGTAGTCCGACGGATCTCATTCATGGCGGCCAATATGTCGTTGCAATAGTAGGCCAATAGCGGGAACTCCAACAAACTGGTCGGTGGGATCAGCTCGTCTTCAGACTAATTTAAAATTCATTTTCAATAATTATTTATTGATTTAAATATAAAATATGATATAAAACAGGAGTTAATACCTGATCATCGGTGGCCGCGCCCGCCAATAGTGAGGCGGCGGCCGACGTATTGATCGCGTGTGAGGTTAGCGTAAAACTCTGTATCGATGTCTCAAATCTAAACAATAAAACAATAGTTTTATGAAAAATAACATTAAAAAAATATCGTAAATATTTATAAAATTTAAATTTTACTATAAAAACAAATGTCAACTGAAATGTACAAAAACAGCAAAATTAGTGGAGAGAATGAAAGGGCGAAAGTATTTTTGTGACAATAAATTAAAGCGTTAAATACGATGTGATATAAGAGATAGAGATTGAGAGACACAATGAATGAATGAATGGG